CTTCAAACTTTTTTTTTTTTTAAGAAAAATAAATGAGATTTCGTGTATTTATAATTTAAGTTTAAGATCTATAATTTATGGGAAAAAATAAGTTTTTTTGTTCAAAATTTGATTTACATTGAACTTTTGCAACACATTGCATAACATTTTTGTTGATGAAAATTTATCAAATGACCATTTTATTAATAAAAAAATAAATAAAGTTGAAAATATGTGATTACATAAAAAAAAAAAATCAACATTCAAATATACAATCGATCAACATTCAAAAATCTAACAATCCAACTAAATTCTAGGTTTTATAAATCATTAAATTGATTTACAATTAAGAGGCCGAAAGAGTAAATTATTATATCATTTTTAAAAATATATATAGAAATGTAAAATATAAAGATTGTTAGTATATTTTTTAATAATAAATAATATTATTACTTTAAATTAAAATAGCATTGAAAACAAGTTTTAATTATTTATATATTCTCCATTTTTTTTTACATTTTTATTCATATTTTATAGTTTTTTTTATCTGTATATAACTATATATATAATGATTTTTAAAAACAATTGAGGCCGGGAAGAATTCATGAACGAGATTGCGAGGTTTGTGATCTGTTTGTGAATATCAGCATGGTTTTTGGTGAAGTGATTTATTGTACCTGCTTATAATGTTGGGTGTTTAGAGGGGAAATTTCATTATAGGATTTAATTTTTTAGTATCTATATATATATATATATAATAAGAATTAACATTTTCAAAAATAGTAAGCAAAAAAATAGAGAACATTAATTGCATTCCATTTTTGGTATGTGTTTTTAATTTTTTTTAATAAAAAATCAAGTAGCATTTAATGCTAGCATAAATCATGGGATTTGTTATATAGATGCATATTTAAATTCAAACTTCAAACAAAACATGCCTAAATGTATTTTGAATTTTTTAGGGGAAAAATTTAACAAACACGTTGAAGATTTCATACAATACATATATTTATATATATTATCTCAACATATAGGTTAATTAGTTTCATATCTAAACAATATATATTTAAACAATATATAAACAAATATAATAATTTGTCGTACAATACAGAAAAATATATAAACAATATATTTATATACAAATATAATAACAATACAAACTATATATAAACAAATATAATAACAATACAAAATATATATAAACAAATATAATAACTTGTCACGCGTATATTTCGTACAATACATATATTTATATATATTTTCTTAACATATAAGTTAATTAGTTTCATATTTAAATAATATATATTTTAGGAACTTAAAGATTCATAACATTACTGACGTCATGTATATTTATAATATATTGTCACATCTACAATTGGTAACTTTTTTAAAATTATTTGAATAACTGGAGGTTGATTTGTAATTTAAATTTCAAATTCATTCAAACATTTAAAGGAAAGTATCATAAGCAGATTTTTTTGATACATTTCATTTTATCTCGACTTACATATAATCATTTCCGAATGATTTGTTTCTCATAACATCGGACAGAATTACTAATTGCATAGAATTCAATTATGATTTCGAATTTATATCACAGATGTTTAATAATTGCATAGAATTTCAAAGATGTTTATTTATTATAAAAAAAATTCTAAAAAAATATTTGTGTATATTTTGTAAAATGTTTGTACAAAATGTTTTACTTTAAATTTATTTACATAATTTAAATTAATTACATTTATAAATAATATGAACATACATTAAATATTTTAATTATATAAAATAAAAAGAAGAAGAAGACTACATTTATAACTTGCATAAATAATAATAATGAAATTATATTACAATAAATTTTATAATAAAATAATATAAGTATTATACGAGGAACAAGATTATGTAAAATTGTTATTTTTCTTATATCAAGGAATATATATATGTATATATATATATATAATGAAATATATATTTATATATATATATATATATATATATAATGAAATCAAATTTATATTATTATAAACATGTGAGCGAGATAATATATTAATTAATTTACGGGTTTGCGCTACCAGACTCAGGTTTAATGTTTCGACAAAAAAAAAATGACGTTGATGAAAAGATGTAAAAAGATAAATATCAGACTCTATTATTTTTTAGGCCTAAACGGACAAGCCCTATGGTCCACTCATTCAATATCTCCCGTGAATCGCACGAGCTACTTAACGGACAAACTCTGTGGAAATGACTCATTTAATACTTATGTCCCGTGCATCGCACGGGCTACGTACTAGTTGGGTTATAATAGAGTCTAAATTTTCAATTTTTCAATTGAGGATTTAAATTTTAAGTTATTCTCAATTTATGGCATATTTTTACATTCAACTTCTCAATTTAAGACTCCAACTCACTTCTATTTTGACATAATTATGTAAACCAAAACACTCTTTTTTTTAAAAAAAACAATTATATTGTAAGTACTTATGATGAATAATATTAAATATCTTTAATAAATAATCTTATAATACAATCATTTCGTAATTTACATTTACACAAAAGCTTAATGAAATTCTAAAAGTTAAAAAACAAATTTGAACTTATTTTAATCTAAATATGTGATAACAATAAAAAATAAACTACTTAGAAAATTATTCTTTAAAGTTTTTTATCTAAGTATTTAATAAAATTAGAAAATAAAGTATTTAAAATTATTTCAGTTTTTTTTTCTAAGCTTCACTATTTATTTTTTGTATTTCATTTTATCTAAATTTCGTAATTCCAAGCATCATCGATAGTCAAGCTTAGAAAAACATTAGAATAACTCTAAATAATTTATTTTTTAATTTTATTACATATTAGATTGTAAATTAAAATAATATTTAGATAATATATTTTAAAAATAATATTATTATACATAATAATTTTATTCATAAATATTTTTAAAATAACATTTTTATATACAAATAATGTTTTCAATAATATTTATTATAAAACAGTACAATAATTGATTTAAATAGTTTATTTCCTAATTTGATTATATATTTATATTATCAATCAATATAATATTTAAATCATACATTATTAAAGTTAGTCTTTAACATTTTTTTAATTTCAAAGTAAATTTTATTAATTTTTTGTATAAATGTAGATTAAATGAATTAAGTTTCTTACTAAAGTAATTTACTAGAGATATTTATAATTATTTAAAATATAAACTTCAAAACAATAGTATTTTGGTTTACATAATTATGTAAAAATATAACGTTAGTTGGTATTTTAATTAAGAACTAGAATGTAAAAGTAAGCTTTCAATTAATAGTAACTTAAAAATTCATTTTTCAAATGAAAATGTTGCAAATTCAAGGCACAATAACAAAAAGTCAAAACCTACAATAGAATTTTCCCGCGTTTAAATATATCGAGTACAATTCGTTTTTATGTTGTTTTTAAACACCTATCATTTCTCCACAAAGAAAGCAATTGAGCTACACTAGATACCAAATTCAAAACAAAAGCATTCGGGAATCGCTAAAAGTTGTATGGTAAAATATTAATTCATAAAATAATTGTGCTCAATAATTATTCAATTATTTATTTTTTTAATTTAAAAAAAAATGAATATATCTTAAATAAAATAAGTAATATTTCATACGAAATATTTTTTAGAATTTAAAATGATATTACAAATTCTGTTACTTTATTATTATTAATTTATAATTCTTATTTCACAATAAGAATTTTATTTCTTTTTCATTATTTGTTGTACAATTAATTTTTTCTTCAAGCACCCGTGTAGTTCACAGACATTGTACTAGATAATATTACGACGTTAACAATAGATTTTTGAAATCATTACAACTTAAAACAAATTAATTAATTAATTTGTCTAAATAAAGATAATTTGAGTCGTAATGGTGAGTTA